GTGTTTGCATTGAAACTGTGTGTCCAACAGTACAGACAATTGTGTGTTATGGAACATCAGGGAAAGAACTAGTAGTTTAGTCATATTTTCATTTACATTTTGCTTTAATTTCCATTTTATGATCATGTTTTAATTAAAGTGAAATGATTAAAAGTGTGAAGGTTACAAGTTCCAGGTCACAATAGCTAACCTGTATAAGGAGTGAAAAATAAGGAAGCAAATACTGAACTATATTATAATCCTACTCAAGTAATTTTCTTTGGTTATATGTCATCACATTTTTAATTGTGTTAGAGTTGATTTTGTTAGAATGCATAATAAATTTCATATAGAGAAATATATCTTTTTATTAGTCTTCTCTTTTCAAAATAAATTGACTTTTTCTCACAAAAACAACAAAAAAACTGAAATGTACACCAACACAACGAAGAAAATGATAAATGTGAAACAACCAAAACCTATTAGGCATACAACAGTTTTACCAGTGTCAAACCGTACATCACACTTCACGACAGACACCCTGGTCTCTGATGTGCTTCCTGCAAACAGGCTAACGTACCTGAGAGGCGTCCTCGGGCTGTCCATGATCCGTCGTGGTGAGCGGATTTTTGGCTCATACAAGAACTTTTCTTTGATGTTTTCCAGGACTGAGGGAGCGACGTACGTGAAACCCTACAAGAACATAGTGACAACACCAACTGGTAAACACAGCTACACTTGGTGCACATGAACACATTTTAGGGGCAGGGTGCAGAACCAGCTGGTGTGAGATCCTGATCCAACCGGACATAGAGCTGTCAAAGTCAGCAGCAGTGAGTTTACAGTCATGTGAAAAAATTAGGATACCCTTTGAAAGCATGTGTATTTTGTAACATTTTTAATATATGGTTATTTAATCTCAATATTAACAATAATTAAAACTGAAGAAAAGTCTTTTCAAGATCTTCTGTAAATGTAATTCAACAAAAATGCCTATTCTAACTGAGGAAAAAGATAGCTCACCCTCACATGTATGCCCTCTTAAAATGGCTCAAATCACACACAGGTATATCACACCAGGTGCACATAATTAGTAGATCGTTACTCAGCATTTTGAATGAGGCTTGCCCTATCTAAACCTGAGACATTTAGTTTGGTGTGCTCTTGACTGCTGAAGTGAGAGTGAGCACCATGGTGAGAGCAAAAGAGCTGTCAGAGGCCTTCAGAAAAAACACTGTAGCAGCCTATGAGTCTGGTAAGGGATCTAAAAAGCTCTCAAAAGATTTTGAAATCAGCCATTCCACTGTCCGGAAGATAGTCTACAAGTGGAGGGCTTTCAAAACAACTGCCAACATGCCCAGGTCTGGTCGCCCCAGAAAGTTCACCCCAAGAGCAGACCGCAAGATGCTAAAAGAGGTCTCCAAAAACCCTAAAATGTCATCGAGACCTACAGCAGGCTCTGGCTGCTGTTGATGTAGAAGTTCATGCCTCTACAATCAGAAAGAGACTGCACAAGTTTAACTTGCATGGGAGGTGTGCAAGGAGGAAACCTTTGCTCTCTACGAGAAACATCAAGGCCAGACTGACATTTGCCAGAGAGAATGTTGACAAAGACCAGGACTTCTGGAATAATGTTCTTTGGACAGATGAGTCCAAAATTGAATTATTTGGACACCAGAGCAGAGGACACGTTTGGCGTAAACCAAACACAGCATTCCAGGAAAAGAACCTCATACCAACTGTGAAGCATGGAGGTGGAAGTGTCATGGTTTGGGGCTGCTTTGCTGCAGCAGGACCTGGTCAGCTCACCATCATAGAATCCACCATGAATTCTACTGTGTATCAGAAGGTGCTTGAAGAACATGTGAGACCAT